CAGCCGGGGGGACCCAAGGTCACGGCCTCTCTGGGCACCCTGTGCCCGGGCCTCCCTCCCAGGCACAGCACAGAAGGGAAGCGAAGGGGACAGGGAGGAGAACTCACCATGACCATCTTCCTCTGCTCACACAGCTTCTGTAACTGGTAGGACTTCTCCTCCGCTTTGATGTAGCCCTTCTTGACATCATCAACGGCCTGAACAGGGAGGAAAGGGGACCCAGGTCAGACCAGAGGACTCGTTGCCGTCGCTTTGCTTTCCCTGGCTGCCCTTGGGGCTTCGAACAGCCGCCCAAAGGCAGAGCCCGAAGGCAGAGCCCCGGCGCCCCGCATCCCCGAGAGGCTCCAGAGGTGGTTCCTCGCTCCCATCCCCTCTGCCACGAGCCTCCGCCCGCCCGGGGAGCACAGAGATGCTTCAGCACCTGGGCAGACTTTGGAAGAAGTTCCCGTGGCAAGAGAGGATGGAAATTCTGGTGCCTGGAATCCTGCTTGTGCCTCGGGACGCAGGCAAGGAGGGGCTGGGACAACCCTTCCAGGCCGACACAAGCGCTGGAGCGGCGCGGGCAGCTCCCGCTGGGCCGCTGGCACACGGATGTTTCCCCTCAGGACTCAGCAGGTCCCCAGCTGCACACCCCAGCACGGAGTCCTGCCCCTGGCACAAGCGGCGGGTAAAGCTGCCAGCCAGCGCCGATGCAGGCGAGCAGATCAAAGAGTCTGACAACTCTCACCGCTACACCGATTTGTCCCGGGGGTTGGGCCGGGCTCAGCTCGGAGGGCGCCGGGACGGCGGTTTTGGTGGCGGGGGCAGAGCAGGACTCGGGGAACTGAGCCCTGCAGACATCCCCCTGCGGGCTGGTCATCCCAGAGGGGCTCTGTACGAGCAATGGGAGAGCGTGGCTCTTCTGGGACTCGCTTCACCCCAGAGAACCTGCACGAAGTGAAGTCACAGGCAGAAATGTCCCCTCCCCGTGGGGTGATCGGGGAGAGGCCTGTCCCCTGTCTTCCCTGACAACACAGAGAATTGAGGAAAACCCGTCCGGGCCGGGGAGTCCTGCGCCCAGCCCGGCTGCGGCCCAGCCACAGGCTCACCACGGTGCCACCGATCCACCCAACCACAGGCTGCTGCTCCCTGGAGCGACCCGAGCAGGACGGGCCCCGGTACCCCGGGGGCAGCGTGGCCGGGGCTGCTCTGCGGACGTCGCCGCTGGTACAGAGCTACGGCCCCGGGGCACCCACCTGGTGGAAGAAGTAGGTGACCGCCAGGTCGTTGTCGTTGAGAAGAACCTCCTCCTCCGTGGTGAAGAGCCATTTCCGGATGGTCAGGCACGTTCCCGGCACCGCCGAGGTGTAGTTCTGCACGTAGAGTTTGTGGGGGAATTCATTGGGCGCCAGTTTGCGCACTGGAAAAAGCGCAAGAGGCCGAGGTCAGCACGAGGCCCCGCGCGGCGTCAGCCG